AAAAACATTTTATATAAAGGAGCAAATAGTACAATATATAAACATATTTAAAATTATATCCTTTCATGATTCTATTTGTGCAAGAGGATTTACTTTTTTTTTATACACATTCTTGAATACTTAAGAAAAAGACAGAACTACATTAAAAAAATGAGTGAAAAAGTGTGGAATAAAAGTCTTGACGAAGGAACATTGTAATGTAGAATTGCACGCAAAGACGGAGTAAACACGGGAAAACAGTCAAAGATGTCAGATTAATGTGACAAAGATGTAAGCAGGACACAAATGTTTTTGAAATGTCAAGGATCAATTTCAGTGATCAGACAGAATCGAATTACGTTCATAAATGAACACGAAAAAATATGTTAATAACATTCACGTATTCAGAAATGAATGCAAAAATCATAAAAAATAAACAACTTGTACATACTATGAACAAATGATTGCAACAATGATTAATGAAGAGTCGCTTATGCCAAACTTTAGAAAAAACAATTACGTCTTCACACCAACTCGTCTTGAAAATTTTTAATCCACCCTGTGTAATGTGTAGTGACCGCCTTGTGCAAGACCTGACACGGGGCCTCCTAATTGATGATGAGGACCCGCGCTACCAGGTGTTGTCGGATACTGATTATGTAATTGCTGTAGTTGTGCAGGATTTGCGCCTAAACCAGCCAAAGTTCCAGCATTTAATCCACTCACGCCTGCAGAAGGTAGATTTCCCAAGCTCATAAGACTTGTCATGTTCATAGAATTTGCAGCAAGGTTTTGCTGTGCTACTGCCTGTTGTAAGTTGCCAGGTGCTAATGATCCAAGATTCGTAGACGAGGACGAGCCTCCCATACTACTTAGCATTGCAGTGGGTCGTTCCTCCAATGATTCATACATGAGAAAAATTTCTTTCTTGACTTTTTCCCAACTGGCTGGATCGAAAAGTATGTAATTTCCGCGTTCGAAAGTTTGCGTTTTCGCGAATGGTTCCGTTCCCTGTTCTTTTGTTAACCAAACTCGAAGTTCTTTATGATAACGCCAATTACGATTGTACCTAATTACGTTATATACAAACGAATAGAGCGTGACTGGACATTTTTTGAGAATAAAGCCATTCACACGAGAAGCTGGCGCTTGACACTTACAATTCCTGAGCAGCAGCTTCTTGCAGTATGTCTCGAGGCATGCTATAGAAGATATAAAATAGAGTCTCATCTGCAAATGAACCTATTTTGGATTGTGCGGGTGGTGGTGGTTGCACATTATAACACGACGGTAGGTGATACTCTGGCTCGATTAATCCGACAG